TATTGATAGACGAAGTGATGCTTTTGGATGTTGATGACCCCTAAACTTATCAGTTTCTGTATGTATATCATTACCCTATCACCTTCACCTGACCACACATTATATCCTGATCACCTTACATAAGTGGACAAAAAAATGACCGCTTTGATCTCTCTAAAATAGCTGTTATCATTTCAGTCACTTTTGGTTGAGATCATTCCACTGACTACTCCTTGCAAACTGTTGATAACCTCCACCATCAGTTCTATCCTATGTATGGCCATTCTTTTGAAAGCGCTGATTTCAGACTCGAAAGCCTCTGCCTAGTTCGAAGAATCCTTTGTCGAATTTGATCGCAGCGATATTCTATTAGGATTACAGTCAGGTGTTGGAGTAGTCAACATTGTAAGGCAACTCAAACGTTTTAGCAGAGGGTACATTGATGGACCCTGACAGTGTTATAACCCACTGTTCCTGTGGTATATCGCTGTTACTTGAAATATTGAGGATATGTTGAAGGACGCTCAGTTCCGTTATTCTGGTTGAAGAAATTATTAGAAAATGGCAATTTAGTGTCATGATTTATTCCCTCGACACATATTCATCGCTCGTCATTTCTTATCTCTCAAAATGGTGTACGCCTTTTGCCGTCCAGAAAACAATGACGTTCAACTCAGCTCATTTGATCGATCGCACGGCACACATTATGTCATGGAGTCCAGTGACCAACATATGGCGATGAAGGTAGCGGTATGCACCGCGTAGGCGATAAGTCGTGTTCCGGCATAAAGTACAGTGAACGTGACAAGACATCACGTCTAATATCGCTAAGTGACAGCACGTGACGACAGCCAGCGTTGATCGAAAATGTTTCCACGGTGGGTGGGACCAATTAGTTGTCGTGCCGTGTGTTTAAAAAGCACTGTATTTGTCTTAAACGAGTGAATATAACTGCTACAACTCCCTGGTTAGACAGGTTTTTGTGAGGCTGATTTTATATGTCCGTCTGTTCAACGGCGTAACTAGTAATCAGACTTTCACTCCGTTAATCACTATTTTTCTTTACATTAACTTCGTCTATTCTCCCGAGTAGCCTGTTTAATGAAATTTCACCATTCTATTGGTCGCGACGACTCTTAAATCTCTTCTAACTTTCACTTCTGTGCCAATTCTTTGACAGACATTATTAATCATAGTAACATTGTTTCCGCAAGTTTCTTCTCTGCTCAGCTTTGATTTCGATTGTGCGCCGCTTCGACTTATAGTGAGAGTTAATGTAGGCCCCTTCGACTTTCGCTCTTCTGAACAAATAGTTGGGCGTGCCGCTCTCGCTTGTTCGTCACACCCTTTGGAACATTGGCATCTGCTGCATTTTGGGGGCTGGAATCCAGGACGATGACCTATAGGTTGAATTTATCACAACCACATTGTCTAGTTCACAGCAAATCTTCGTTTCAGTTGGCTCGCTAGCCACCATTCCTAGCCAGGTTGGAACGGTTGTGTTAGAGGTTATCCCTTGATCTGTCAACTCATGACTAACAGCTTAAACCAATGCGCTTAACTGAATTGCGGCCGCTGGGACGGACGATCTCGTATTGTGGTGGACTGTCAGGCAGGAACTGCAAATATTCCAACTCTCGGCGGAATACATCAACACAAGGGGAGGTGCGTTCAAAAACCCACAGCGGGCGGGTGGAGGACGATGTGGGCCACCGGATGAGTCATCCCTCGACCGGGTCGGACCAACGGGCGAGACATAGCAGCCAAAATAGGATGGATGACCATATTGGAAGCGTGATTATTCGAACACTCACAGGAATATCTCGACACGGCTGTGGAGTACGGTCAAAGCCCACAGTGGATAGACGGAGGACAACACGTGCGATCGAACTAACCATCGCTCGACGAAATCGGATCGACGGACGAGGAATAGCGGGCAGAAAACCCCCGGATAGAAGGCGCCGATCACACACGTAAACCGAGTAGAAGTGCACACGACGCGTGAGCGGAAACCGGAGTGTGTTGTGGGCTGGAATGCTGACTCATAAACGCGAGCGCGTGTGTGACATGGTAACTAGCGTGTTGGATAATAAAGAATGTGGTTTATTGTACGCCTTTTCGCTACAGTAATACCACTACTCAAGAAGGGTGATAGGGTATTAATCGAGACTTATACACATCTGCTGCAGTTGACGTAAATAGTTCAGAGCGTCTTTCTCAGGAGGGGATGTTGGCTCTGTGAATTGTGGTCCATATAATCTTGAAAGTAGATCAGGGGAGTTAATTTAGTTCTTGTCACAACTAACCTTTTCGCGCCCATTACACCGCCGACTCTGCTTCCCGGGAAGTACGCATTGGAGAAGAGGAGGCGAGCTTATGACCTGAGTGATGATACAAGGTTCTGACTTTTATTTAACCAAAGTTGTTACAGTAACGTTAGCTTTAAACCTGATGATGAAGATGTGCAGTTTTTTGGACGGTTTGTATAGTTACGGAGCCTTGTCTCGGATGATAGCAGTTTATGATAATTTCCTCTAATACGAGATATTTTGGGCGTCAAATGCTGCCTCGTTCAAATTCAGTGTTCGTAGATCGGGCAGTATCGAAGAGTATGCAGCAAAATGGTTTGTTGACCACGAGGAATGAAGAAAATTCAGTCACGAAACCCTCTGATATGGAATAGATTGGGTTGATCAGGCTGCAAATGAAATTTTTAAATTTCTCGTTTGTCACATCAAGTCTTATTGACCGAGTCCCGACTCTCACCACTGAAAAGCGCACAATCGTTCCGTGGACAACGTATTAAAAGAAAACACAAATGGTCATTTGTAAATTAGGATTGGTAGATTGTGTTCATCTCTCAATTTGAGAGATAAACATCATTATCTGGCCTCTAGATGGTGACCTCAGAACGGTTTAGAGATTGTTGTTGTTCGTCTGGAGCGTGGGGCATATAAGTGTAGTTAGTAAAGCGATGCACTGAAGACCATAAGGAAGCTAGCCCTTTCTCAATTACTATCTTACGTTAAGTGTCGCTTTCCTAACATCGGATGTTTGAGTATAGATATAAGAGCTTTATAATGTAAACTAAATTTCCCCCTCTTTATTGTCTATGAGCTCGCTTTTTTATCCGCCTAATACCTGCGTAACAGTTAACCACAACTTGATTCGTCATTGTGATCTTTATTGATAATGAAAGTGTGAGTTAATTTGCCAGAACAACGGGTTCATATTTTATCTGGCGCTCATATTACGATCAATAATAATAATAATAATAATAATAATAATAATACAGGTAACCCTATTATTATTGTTATTGTTATTATGTATCATTCTAGATTATTTCACTTAATTCCTCTGTAGACGATATGAAACCCATGCTGAGTAGGTTAAATTATGTGACTGATCTGTAGGTAAACATGTAAAGTGCTGTTGACAGATTGGGCTAGTTTTGATCTTATCTTTGTCGTTGCGGGTAGACCGATCGAGATCATTGACGACTTCACCTATTCAGGTGATGTCACCACATTAGCTTACAGTATTACGAATGAGATGTCCACTAGGATAACTGCTCCACGCGCTACCGCTAACCTTTTTAATTTATGGCGTCACAAAGATGGTTTGCCGTGTGTCTGCTTCCAGGTTTGTACTGTGAATCCAGGACTTAATCCATTCGTATAATAAAACTGTGGATATTTCACCATTGTTACCTTCGTCAATCAGCCTGTCAAGTGCATTGACAGCTCGAGCCATACTGTCCGCGAGCGCGACTCGAAGCCAAAAGCGGTGTTACTGTTGTACACAAGTTTCAGTACACACTGAGTGCCAATTCAGGATCATGAAACAGACCGTCAGTTTGCAGCGACTAAATAGACGTGAAAAAACTAAGTATGGTAAAAGATTACCAAACTGGAAACAAGATTATTTTATCGGTTTCACATTACACAATCTTAACAATTTTCTTTTGGTTCGTCCATGTGATGTCTATGTTATCCGGTCCGTAGACTGGTCATCGAGTGACGTGTAAATTTCATCCTTGGTCTCAACCTAGCACCATCTAATCTATCTCTACATCACTCTTAATAGAGTGCACACAACCTCCGACTGTCGGTCATCATCACTACCATTCAATGTTTCTTACCATGCCAAATCTAACAATTGTACATTTATGCGGTCTACCGAGGTCGTACTCAGTTCCCATCTAGAAAAGCATTGACATGTCTCCTGATTGATGTCTTGATTTTTCAGTAACTGATGTCCACTTTTTTCTCCTCGTATTCCTGTAGCCCGACCTCAGGTTATTTGTATCTTTTTTTGATCAACAATTTCACCGTCACTTTGGCCTTGTACGGATTGTTGCTATTCTACTTTGCCACACGTGATCAACTGCGACCGTTTAAACCGGTTCTGAAATTTGCCACCATCAAGGCTATCATTTTCTTCAGCTTTTGGCAAGGTAAGTCTAACGAATCCTCAGTATTTCACGGTTTTTTGTGTCATGCTTCAAATAACCAAAATGTATCCCTTGTAAAAATTGTTTTAACCTGCCACCTGGCATCCTCACACCAAGTCAAGTTATTGTATTACGTACCTTAGAAATTAAAATTCAACATTATCATACAGACGACTTCAACAAGCAAACTGTTTTAACAAGATTATTTGTGTGAAACTCAATTGCTTTTGCGAGGGTACACTTTACTGGAAGTTTTCTCTTAATTATTTAGTAACAACAGGATATAATATTCTTACCGAAGCACTATACGTTGATGAGCAGTAGTAAAGCGGGCTAATGGCATATGTAGTAGTTGGATATGATACACGACGGGATGAATCTGAATGCAAATGCTAACGTTCACGGAAACAATCAATACATTGGATATGTTTAGAAGAGACTCATATGTGTAAAAATAAAAGCTTGATCTGGGACATTCACTATCTTGGAGCATTTAATGAATTTCATACAACAGAGTAAGATGAGTTGATAACTGAGTTCTGATGTGTTATTCTGGGGTTCTCGGTGTTGCTTTGTAGCTTAGCTTGTAAGGCAAGGTACCTGCAGCATCTGGAAATTCTGTTCCTGTTGTTGATTCGATTCCATCCGAAGCAGAATCTTTTTTTCACGAATAGATCTTTTCTGAAGTGTGTTTACATAAAAATGTACGTTAAATATTGTTCACTTTAGAAATGAAGCTTTTGTCTTCCATCAGATGCCTTCAGTCCCTTAAACGCTAGCTTTCAAAATTAACAAACAGTGGATATTGCCAATTCCGAAGAGTGCATGCATATGTAAACTTGACAGTCAACTTTCTGCGATTGACAGAAGTTTTACACATCTCCCACAAACATCATTAGTATAACTCTAATAAATGTAGAACGCGTATGCTTAGACTGTTGAACCTCGAGAGGAAGAAAGCGACCTATGTTATGTAATATAAACTGAATGTTAGTCACAGCTGGTCGCAACCTTCACATGAAGTTAGACCCCCGTCGAAAAAGACGACTGAGACTTCGCTCTTGTCAGAACTCGGCAGTAGTGTATAGTCTTGTCATGTCTAAATTTGAGGGCTTCACTCAGCAATGAGTGATATTCGACTTGTACACCTTACGATAAAATTGTATGGTCACCTCATCTCTTAGTAGTAACTTTCCTATTAACGTGTCCCCAAAACCCATTTTTCCCAAACAAACAACCAAATACTATCACAACTCTATGGGCTGAATGGTTCTGAATAGCTTTGGTAGAAAACGAGTTGTGTTCACGAGTAGTAAAGATAGCCGTGACAGAGTTAGATGGTCATCCCATGTTGCCATGGTGTTTTCGAGCCGACTGGATGGACTAGCTCTCCTGGACACGCTTTGAGAAACGGGTCACTCAGTCGACGATACAGTTGGCAGGCTTCATTATCGGTGGTTTTTTAAGTGCCAGGTTGTTGAATCCCTTGTGATCAACACTTCAGGCTACATTTGCACTGTTCACACATTATGTCACAAACTCACCGACTTGGTCAGAGAGAAAACCTTCTAGTAATCAAACGTGTGCAGCTAAAATACGAGAAATTATCAAGATTCCAGAGTTCTGGGAATGCTGTTATATGATATTTGTGAGGGCTGAAGGATTTTATGCAGACGATTCATAACAAATACCAAACACTTTTATCTAATCAGTGCAGACGACGAATATTACTGCTACCTCCCGACACAGCTCAAATCCGTACTTGAACTTAGTGTCTCCACTAAAAGTGTCGCAGACACTGAACAACACTCCGTGGCTGAAGTATATAAAAATGAGAATAACGTTTTACTGAGTCTATGGGTAGAAATTCACGTTTTCCGTTCACTTATGTGACATTCTATTTGCTTCACTAATGAGAAGACATTTGATCGAAATTGGTCTGATGCATTGAGTTCGCACTGACATGATATTCGGAAGGGGGAATTATGTTTCAATTGGCTCCCTGATGATAGATGTTCGTTGATCTTGTTGGATGGTATTTTCAGCCCTTGGTGTGAGTGAACTGACCATGTTAGATAATGATCATTACACTAGTCCTTATGTTCAGACGTTGAGACATTTTCGGTCTCCCTTCATTCCTTCAATTAACAAGGGACTTTGATTTTCCAGCAAGAAGATACTTCAGTTCGTTCGTTGCACGTCTGATGCGTTTGGCTACTGATTTATCTGTTCGAATTACTTTCGGCAACTGCAATATCGTCTGAGTAATAATACACATCCAATTATCGAAGTGCCTAACATCTATGTGGCCAGTTGACTCTGGGTCACCACGTCAGCCTGAAGGCACCAATGGAAATTTGGCATGGTGGTCGCATGGTTTTGTTGTGGCTATCTTATATACTTTTGTATAGAACTACTCTTCTAAAAGAACACTACAATCAAAATTCAACATGCAGCACACTCTTAATAACGTTTTTTCGTCTGTTGCGACAAATGTTTATTATCGACTTGTTACTGAGCGGTATATTTCCAGGTAGTGAGATGGTCGAATAATCTTGTCACCGGGTGTAGAAGACAAATCCATAACTGTCTTGTATAATCACAGCAGGTTACTTGGATTTTGTTTGTGTTGCTTGAAAGAACGGACATTAAAATCCATCAGTCGATCGCTCTTAGGTATGAATCCTAGGTATTTTCCCACATTGACGGGTAACTTTCGCAACTGTGACCGATGTCAAATTTATGTACAACTGTTTGCAAACCACAATCTGGCTTTGACTGGTTTGATATATATTCCCTAGGACAGTACTGTTAGCATATTCAATCGGGAAGGTGATCTGAGCAATGTGTATGCGAAATATATGGTAGCATTGGAGAAGGAATAGCCCATCGGCACACATACAATTTTCTCATCCGATTTGAGGACAATCTATAGTTAGCTCTCTAGATGGCCCTGCCTACGTTAGTACAACTTTCTTTTCTATCTACCGTGCGTTCAAGTCGATTCCACGTGTTTCTTTTGGCATCCGTATTAACCATGGTCAAGTATTTCGCTACCGCAAGTCATGTGGTCATTGCGTTTATAGATTCTAGTCGAGTTTTTTTATCGTTTGTGAACGCTGTGCTTTAGAACAGGAAACTTCCTTCGTAAATGAATGAATAAGTACATTTTTTGATTGATGTTTCGGCCACCCGATGAGTCGTTCGATCATCATACTTGAAACATTAACTGAATCATGTTTGTGTCTGTTTGTATGCCTACACCCATGGTTAATCGACTTAGTTCATTCGCGCTTGGACCAAACCGTAGTGTTCAACACCACGTAATCGGATTTTCTGTGTGCCGTGATTCAATGTTTCTCACGTTACCGTTTCTCTACACCACACCGGTATGTTGTCCCTTATGCATGCATTCGGTTGCACGCGGAGTGGCTCGTGGTTGTTAATTTTCTTCCAATCCTCTTGAATATGTGAGAATGTTATTCGGCGTGAGTTCCAGAGTCTTTGGAACAGTGTCATCCGCTTCCTAACCGGTTCATGTCCCTACCTCTGAGAGTCTGAATGATTTCGTTTAGTTTGGGTGCTCTTATGCAGTACATTGATTTCGGTTGGCAACCGAATCAATACTTCTGTGAATGAGAATGGATATTTGGTGTGAAGTGCTATAAATGTTATACTCCTAGGCTTATCTGATCTAAATGAACTTGTAGTGTACCAGCTCTCACGTTTCTACTGTTTCAACAATCAGTTTGCAAAATCGTATAGCTATACACTGAATTAATGTGCTTCCGCTATCGGTTGGAATGAATGCCTGTCCTTTCTTATTACAACACGGTCATAGCACAGTTTTGCGCGCCAGTGGTGTTCAGTCAGTTGTGACTGCTCCACTTGAACTGTTTGGGTCATGCACGTGTGTGACTGTCAACTAGAACACCTTCTGGCTGTGTTATTACCACATCAGGATTTGTGTGTCCCGTTCGACCAATAATAACGGCAAAATTGCCTCCTCGAAGCACATCTTGTATCGGCTTTACGGTTCATCAGGTTAGACAAAAAAAAATCCAGGCATATGTGGCTGTGTCGACTCCTCAGATGTTTGTCCAATCCAATTACAGCACGAACCGTACACATTTCAGAGACCTTGATCGATACGAGGCATCACGGTGATTCTTCATATCATGTGATCCGAGTCGATATACAAGTATGTGTATATACACTGAACTGTTTTAGGTTTGCTTTTACATAGTTTGGATAATTTGTGTTTCGTTATGGTGGTTGTGATCAATTTCCGAAATATGTCCGAGTACAATCAATCAACACCTTGATGTGTACTTGGATGCGTACGTACATGGATGAGCTTTCTTCTTCTGTAACATTTTCTTTTTGCTTCCTTCTCACACAGATGTTTTATTTAGCATATTGCAATGGAGTCACGTGGTGCGTGGCAGTCATGGCTATTCTGCTGATTTAGTTGCTGTCGGATGCAAGAACGTGCTCATCTGTATCGAGCTGGTATTCACGGCGATTGCATTGCGTTACGCATTCCCCTACAGCATTTACGTACTTCAGTAAGTGATATTATTGTTAGTTAGCAAACACTGCCCTTTGATGGCATTCTGTAGTGCTGAATATCGAGAACAGAGAAATTTCACTTATCGTTTCTGTGATCGTTTGGAGCCATGTTGAGTAAACGTACACCAGTATAACACTACGATTGGTTTGCTCAGCTGGTCAGTAAATTCAATATCTGCATTGACATCCTTTTTCATACCATAGGTGAATCGTTTTTTGAATGATCCGAATTAGAGAAATAGCATGTGATCAGTTTCGATATTTTGTGTCCAGTTTTGTTATTATTCATTGAATTTACTTATTTGCTGGTGTTTTCGTTTTGACCTCATCGACATTCTGTGGTTGGTTTCATTATCACCGTGCAATCAAGTACGTTCATCAAAACTTATCTAAGTTAAGTTCAATGTTCTAGATAATTCCGAGTAAGGGTGCCGATTTGCTATTACACTGCCTTGTGTTCGAGTTTCGGTTACTACTGTTCCTCTTGCCGTCTTGGTTTACACAGTCAGGCTGGTCATCTGGTATGCCATACAGCGTGAACGTTTATCTTATGTACAGTTTGCTAAAGTGCATTGCTTAAATGGGTTAGATTTGATGAAACTCATCAACACGAAGCAAACCAACGGTTCACGAAAGCCTACAGCTCATCAATGTCGGCAACTGGAACAAACTGGCATGTCAACGCAGTGACCAATCTGGATGACATTCTGACGTAGCATCGGATTTTCTTGTAACGAGCACCGGAACAAAACAAGATGTTTAAGTGTATCATGCTTTAAGACGAACAAGCCACAATCTGAGCCGAACCGACCAATAATAAGACCGAAACTTCGGAGCCAATTGCAATTCTTCATTTTACTACTGTTCTTTGTGTATAAAATAGCCCATGGAAACCCAATAAGATTACAATTACCTGATGCCACAAGTCTAGTCTTTTGTTTTCATTTTGAAAAGTGACAAGTTTGCAGCACATGGGAAAATTTATATTGAGCAAAGTAGCTCCCTCATCAAGTCAATTCTAACGCTATGACTGGCTTATAATTTGGTGGTTCGTATTTTTTCCGATTTTCACCTGTAGAGAA